GGTTTATGATCTAAAATTAATATTTACCTAATTAGATTAATAATATGTGCACAGCAAGGCGCATAGACTAATTGTGATATTATTGGCTTTAATACTTCATAATAACACTTTTTCATATAAGCCGCAAAATCTGATAAAAATAATTTTGGTAAGTTATATTCAATATTAAATTTAACTAAAATCATTAATAGAAGTTCACCAATTGTTGAATTGTTCACACAATCTAAAAATCAACTAAGACTAATTTGGTATTTTGATAAAGCAAAAAGAGTATTTACAACACTGCGTGAACAATTGTTTGTCGTTTTATTCATTATAATCGTGACAGGTTTTTGGTCAAAAAGTTTTTGAAGAAAAGAAAAATGGTTATCAAAAACTTGTGGTAAATATAATCGACAAAGTATAAAGGATTGAGGAATAGCACCACTTCTTTAAAATATTTTTTTTTAAAAAAAAAGTAAACTATCAACTTTTTCAAGAGGAATATTAGCAAATAAAAAAGCTTTAATTAAATCTTCTATAACTTCTTTTCTTGATTCACATGCGGTTTGTGCTGCAGCAAGCATAATTTGTTTTTTAAATTGTTCTTTACTTTCATAAGTTTGTTTGTTCTTAATATGCGCTTTTGAGTTACAATGCCCATCAACAGTAGACTTCATTTTCTATTTAACAGAATGATCATAATCATTACAAAACATAATTCCTTTATCTTCTCTAAAAACACTGGGATGTTCCTTTAAATGAGTAGCTATAGAAACTTTTTTTTGTTGTGTTGCCATTGTAATAATTATTAAAAAAAAAAAACAGCATATTGCAAATTTTATATCTAAAAACTTTTTTATTTAATTTACTTTAAGACGGTTTTAACATGTTTAAATTACTAACATGATACTGAAACACTTTGAACATTTAGATATTTTTGAATATTTTAAAAAACTTAAATATAAACAAAAAAAGTTTCAGATAATCAAGAGATATAATGCTGCCTTAAATGCTTACTTAAACTTGGTTTTTTTTTTTGAATTCTATATTAATATATTGTTCTTTACACCATTATTATTATCAATGACTTAATTTATAATTGATTTAAAAGGGACAGTACGAAAAAAAATAATCTCACTATAATAATTGAATTTAATTATGTATCAATACAATGTATAATTATCGCAATCGAAAATAGCTTTAAAAAACTAGAAGAATCAAGTTTATAATATAATATAGCCGAATTAGCAACAATTATTATTAAAAACTAGTTTTAAGGTTATTTTTAAGAGATGCAAAGGTACGGTGTTGGGATTTAAATAATAGTAATCCGTAGTTTTGGATTATGATCCATGGTACTATATAAATGTCTTTTTTTGATTGGCTAATAATCATGTGAATGTGTATAACTCCATTTTTTTGAAATTTTGTAATATTCTGTGATGACTAAGTGTAATTTTTTTATTTGGATGTGATTAAGAAAAATTCTGTGATATTTTGTGAATTATAGAAAATCACTGTTTCTGGGTTGAAGGCATGCCCTTTGACCAAAAGACATGCTTCTATCATGTAATATAGGGCTATTATATAATTGGTCAATTATCAAATTAGCCAATTAGAATTAAAGCCTATTATTACTAATTACGATAATATATAATATATATATTTATAGAGGGCATACCTTTCACAAAGGCATGCTTCTAGAAGCATGTCTCAAAAATTTGCTGTGCCTCCAACTTTATTGTTAAAAGTTAAAATCTTTTATATTTGGAGTAAAGTTTTATTAAAACTTGAATATTTGTTTATATTACACCTGATCCTAACCTTTGATTAGCTGATAGATGCCAGAAAATTGTAACTATAAAACCAATTTTACATCTTGACGCTGTTTACAAGCTTGGAACCTTCAAAAATTTAACTCTAACTAAAATGTTAAACCTTCATATCTGACTTTATTTTATTTAAAAGGCAATAATAATATAGCAAGATAAAACTTACACATTCAATTAGTAATATTCATGTTGATTAGTCAAATTAAATAAAATCCAAAATGATAACATAAATAATTATTTTTGAAAAAATATGTAAAATTTGTTTTTAAATATATAAAACTTGTAAGAGTGCAATAAGTTAATAAAGTAATTAAATTATTACTTTAAGCAGTATATTGGAAGTTTAAATTTTATAGTAATACAAAATTTAAATTTTTTTGTATTATAGTTATTGTTTTTGATATTCAAATAATATTAGCAAAATTAAAAAAGCAAAATATTGCAAAAGAATTTAT